ATGTGGATGAGTGATGAGCGCAGAAAAGTGCGTATTTAAACCCCTTAAGCTTAAGTATTCTAGAACCTTTATCTATCTTATTTTCTCGTTTTGTATTGATTTCATGTTATTTCCATTTTCAGGTACTTATCCCCAAAATAAGCTAACTCAGCCAAATAAGAGCGTAATTGAAGTAATTCTGGGATGAATCAAATAAATGAGTAAAGTAGAGCAAAAGGAAGCAAATGGTGGAATTTTAGCAACTTCGATCGATCTTAAGAAAAGTTCGATCAATCCAATTTTCATCGATCTCAGCACTCCAAGATAGATCCAGGCCATGATGTCACCTTCAGAGATCCCACAAGTTCGATCGATCCAACATCATTCTCTAATTGATTGAACTTTCTTGTCCTTATCCACATGCCAGATCTTATCCAGCTATACCACCCTAGCAACCACTTTTGTCCTTTTTCTCAAAAATATCTTCAAAATATCTCAGATTTGTTTTTATCCAAAAAGGCGCCGCCATTGAGGATCGATCCAACTTCAATTCGATAGATCTCAGCCATGTTCGATCGATTTCACCTCAAGTTCGATCGATCGAACTTCCCAAATCCTGAGAAAAATCCAAATTCCAGCTCATTAACAGTTGTCTCATATCCAATCATTAGAGGATTATTGGTGTACGACCCCAGCTCATTTGGGATGATTTTTGACCTACCTATATAAGGAATATGAGCCACTTTTAGTGAAGAAGGAAAAGGAGAGGAGGAGGCTAGAGACACCATTGGAGACTCTTCATCAACCAAGGAGCAGATTTCTTCCATGGAGCTTGCCCTTGAGGGTTGAAGGACATCATCCATGAGTGGCTAGACATCCTCTTGGGGCTAGAGTTAGCCCTAAGCATGCTTTCTACTTCTTCATTTATGTATTTTTGAGGGGATTTGTATTGTCATTCATGTCTTGACACTTATATATATATAGATCTTGTTTATTCAATGATTTATGTGGTTTAATGTTTCCAATTGATCATTTCATTCTATCCATATGTCTATGTATGCTATAATAGATGTTCATGTGTTTGTCTCTATTTATTGTGTTATTGATGCATGTCTATGTGTATTGATGCTATAGATCCAGAGATTGTCAAGACATAGTGTTTAATGGCATGTTCTTGTGGTTTATTTGATGGTTCATACTCATTTCTTGATGGATTTTACGTCTCCCTTAGTTTAATTTGTTTAATTGCATGTCATTAGCTTAGTTGTAGTGTAGTTGTTAAATAGAAGGACAATCCATGCTTCTTGTTGATATTCCATACTTATGAAAGCAAGTAACATATATTTCTAACCTTGTGATGTGTTTGGATTGTGAGCTTAAAGAAATGATTAATGGCTTAATTTGATATGTTATGCTATCCATCATGTTGTTTAGACAATATATGCTTAATTTGTCATCCATGCATGTTGAAACAACCACACACACACATTTTGTTGCAATACATGTTCTTCCCCTCATCAATCATTCATTAAAGGTGTAGAAAAGCTATGCTTAGTGGTGATCTCTAAACCCCAAGATCTCTCTTTCTCTTTTATTCTCCTTATTGCATTATTGTTTACTTTAGTTTAATTTGCATCTAGTTTAATTCAACCAACCAACCACCATTTTGATCACTCGACCTACTAACCCTAATCTTGATTCCTCAACCTAGTACGACCCTCAATCCCTTGGGACGATCCCTTCTCACTCATACTACATAGTATAGGTGTTAAGCGGTTTATAAATTTAAATTATGGTGCCCACTTAACACTAATTTCCAAACTCAAAGTTTTGTGCATTATTTTGTGCACACGCTCGGGAAGACAGCAATGAGTATATTGATTAATTTTAATTTCCCAAACGAATATGATCCCTCTCTTTATGCGCTATTCTTTGTTTGGATTCATGGGGTCATTAAGGAGTGCGTTTTAGGCACTTCCTACTGAGCCGTTGTACTAACCTCATCATTATCATTTTTTCTGGACTCGGAAAAGGCGGAGTGGACAATTCATCTTAACCATTGTGGGCCATTTAGGAAGTGACATTTGACGTCATTATAGTTCCCATTATTTGTAGTATTTTGAGTTCAATAATGTTGTAATTTTATTCATTCTAATGAAAATGTAAATTTTATTATTTGGGGATGTAATTGGTAGCGATGGTATTAAATCTCTATATTGTAATTTTTACGAAGTATTGTTCTAATGTTGTAATAATATTCACAATAATTCTATTTGGGTATATAAGCATGTTAACGTGGTTTTGTTTTATTTGGGATATTTTAACGTGAGTGTTTGTATATATATACACACACACACACACACACACACACACATACATATACGTACAATAGAATTTCAGTGACACTTTAATAGTGTATTGGTGGTGGTTTTAGTGATTGTGAATTTGGTGGTGAGTGGAATTGTCTGGCTAAAAGGAAGTTGGATAAATACGTGACTGGCGAGAACCAGTCAACGTGCCGGTATCTTTTATTGTTTTGGGCAGTGAGCATTTTCACTGTGGATGACCCAAATAGGTCGACGTGAATTACTCACACATCGACCGATTGTGTCAAACCAGTCGACGTGTAATGTATCGGTTCCTGTTTTACGCTTTTATTTAGTTTTCCTATTTATTCTTTATCACCCATTTAAAGTTGTGAGTATTTATTATATGGCCCAATAAAATACATTAATTATACTTTAACCACGGGAATGACCCTATTACCCCCGGACTTTATCATAATCATTGGATGACCTTAGAAAATAACCGTTTTACCCATTTGGGTCTTAACCATCATAATTATATTTAAATAACCATTTTGCCCTTGTTGGGCTGTAAAGTATTAATTTAATGGGAAATGACCATAATAGCCTTGCATGACCTCGGGTTCGGGTAAGGACTAGGTTTGCGATTCGGACCCTAGGTTCGGGTTGTTACAAAATAATGCACGAAAAATAAATAAAATAACGAAAAATCTGAAAAAATCCAGAACATTACAATTTGGGGTTTAAAAGGACATCTTGGTTATTAAGTGGTTAAAAGGGCTTCTTGGTCATATATTATTTTAAAAGTTAGCACATGATAGGTACATGCTAGTGTCCAGTTGCTATTTGACGGAAACAAAAAGATTTGACGTGATATGATGGATTTTTAAAAGTAATGAAGTTGGATTTTTAGAAAGTAATGAAGTTTTTAGATATTTTTCTTAAGTATATGGGTTATATGGCTTATTTTGAATAGTATAAGAAGTTTTATGATTTAATCATGGATGTCAGTTTTGTCATTTCACATACCAGTTAATTATTTTGTAAGGAAATTGAGATAAAATGATCTATTTTGTTAATTCTGGAGTTATTTATTAGTATAGGGGATTATATTATGTGACCTTTTAAAATAATATAGACATTATTTTATGATGTTAACTAATAAAACTATACTAGCTAAGTCCAAATGGCAGCTTAATTTGATGAAATATGGTCAAAATAAGAAAAATATAAAATTTTGACTTATTATTTTACTTATTACAGTACAAATTAATCTTGATAAAAATATTCCCCAACATAATTTTTATATAATTTTCTTTCGAAGAGTTGTACAAAATTTTCAATATTTGTACACAATGTAATGAAAAAAGAGAAACTACTGACAACAATTATGATGACGTGGAACTCATGGACCCATGGTAGTTTTATTCTGTTTTAATCGGGTATTCCGTCCGTAAGCCCTGCCTCAAGTAACTAGGAGTGCAACTTGGGCGGGCTAGCCCAGCCTAACCCGAGTCCAACCCATAAATTTTAAAATCTGGACATATAAATTCATAATTCGGGTTTAAGTCGGGTTGAGTTTTTTCAAAACCCAACCTTATTCGGTTTGGGTTGGTTTCAACCCGAACCCAACCCGAAAGCCCAAATTAAACATTTCATTAAAAAAAAAAAAAAAAAATCCACGAGGAAGACGAGGGTCAGGCGGTTGAGGAGCTCTTTGACCGGAACGGTCACTTCTCCGACGTCTTTGTCGCCAAGGGTACGCTCACAACGGAGGTTGAAGACGAGGGTTAGGCGGTTCTGTTGGGCAGCCGACTCGTCTATGGTGAATTTCACGGGGAAGTTCCAGGTGGGGTTGTCGTCGCCGTCTTTGTCGACGATGGTTTTTAGCTTGGTGCTGTGGTCGCCGGCGATTGAAACGACGACGTACACGTCCATCTTGGTGATAAAGTTGACTTTCTTGAGGTCTTTTGCGGAGACAACCTTGATTTATAAGGTACGGTACTCTATATTGATCAGAAACGACAGATCGACGGAGAGAGATATACTAGAAGATATATACAGAGAGAGAAAGAGAGTTTTAGAGAGAGAGAGAGAGAGAGAGGCGGAAGTAGCAGAGAGGGATATGCCCAAATGCCAAACCCAACACTAGTCGTGGTTATTATTTACGAAGCAATTAAAGGTGAGGTCAACCCTTACAAGTTTGACCGTGTGGGTTAATGCAATGAGACGTAAACCATGGTTGGGTTAACTTGATTGGTGATTAATTACTAAGTTTTAACCATGGTTAAGGACTTCTAAGAATGTTTAATCCGAAGTTTCAACAATTCTAATGAATTTAGGTATTAGAAACCTAATAGTCTAGACTAGACGTTGTTATATATATATATATATAAATAAAAAATAAAAAAAATAAAAAATATATATATCAACCCGTGAATCCTGACCCGACCTGTCCGAATATATTTGGTCCGAATTATAACTCAACCTATATTTGGTGTAATTCGGGTTGGATCAACCCAACCCGATTCGAATTGAGATTGAGTTGGGGTTGGGCTGGGTTGGATAAGCCCAAGTTGCACCCCTACAAGTAACGCTAGGCAATTAAAAATAAAAAATTAAAAAATAATAATTTGCCACACCAAAACAAACGGAAGGAGGTCGCTTTTGCTCCCCCCCCTCTCTCTCTCTCTCTCTCTCTCTCTCCACACACACACACACACGCATATATGTATTGATTGCGTTGGGTCAGCGCCCAAGTCTTCGTCCATCTACTTCATGGTTTGAAGTCTCCATAAGTAAATTTGGGAGCTTTCAGTAGTCGACTCTTCTCATTGCATTGATAATCACTCATTTCATTTCTCTGCTGTTCAAGGAAGTCCCTCTCAATTGGTGCGGAAACATAGAGTTTCAGCAGTCGTAAGCGTGGGAATTCTGCTCAAAACAGGTTTGTTTATTTTTTCACTTCTCTTAATATATATATACATATATATATATATATCTCTATAATAATTTCCTTCATGTAACACTTTTTTTATTTTTTAAATAATAATAAAATTTTCCCTTTTATCTTTTCGTTTTCTCTGCTATGCCCAAGAAAAAAACTCTTCACTCTCTCTCAACAGTTGTAATTCGTTCCAGCTCAATGTTTAGTACGAGTATTCTGTAGTACTTAAGATATGATCACAGGTGGAGTAATGTGTAAGCAGTCTTATAGCTCACAATTGAAGCCATTACAATTAGTAACAAACAGAGCAATTTTGAGGGGCAAAACGACTATATGTCATTCATATATACCTTAAGGTCGAAAATTATGTTGAGGACTTATTTGAAACATTTTATATTTCATAATCAATATGTGACACCTTAAGAATTGATTCAGGAAACGTTAGGGTCAGTACTCTCTTCATAGTGCTCATTTAACCATGAATTTTACTCTTTTTTTGTTTTGTTTAAAACTTAATTTTCTCAATTTGTTATGTATTTAACCACAATTTCTACATAGAGCTAACTGTTGGAGTTCTGTCCAAATTAGTTGGATAGGGCATTAACCGGGGCTTGTTTGGTAGGCTTTTTGTTTTTGTTGAGTACTGTAGTTGTAGCAGTGAACAATGGATAAAACACATTTGGTAAAAATGTTTTGTGTGGTTTGGTGTTTTTACATGTTTCAGCACTGTAGCACCGGGTACTATAACAAAGAATTGTAATTTTTTTTTTGAAAAACTCTTAAATGACATTTTTAAACTAACCATTATATTTTTCAAACTTGCAACACTTTTTTACCAAACATATTTTATGTTTATTGCTTCCAAAAATCTTACAACAAATGGACGTTACCAAACATGCTTCAAAATTACTATTCAAAACACCATACAACAAAACACTTGTTTTTGTTTCGGGTTAAAACAAAAATGCAAAAACAAAAAACTTACCAAACGGACCCCTAGTATTTGTTCCACCGTTGATGTTGGTAGGGTAAAATGGATACAAATAAGACTTTTGGTAGTGTTTGCACGAATTGATTGAAACTCACACATGAACTCGTTATAAAGGGGTTTTTGCACGCAAGGCCAGCACTCGCGAGGGCTCATACGATAAAAACCCTGCCAAGAGCATGTTCCTTCCCATACTCTGGTCCCTTAACTCTCCTATGGGAACAAGTGCCGGGCCTGACCTCTTCCTATAATGTATGTCTTTCTTAATATATATAACCAAGTGACAATAATTGGTTGAATGAGATAATTTACTGTTTTTAAAGCCGATAATAGATCACTAGGTCATAAGATTTTGAAGTTTATGCATTTATAAGGACACACTTAAAACATTCCATTTGTGAGATGTGGCATTAAATTTGTGAAACATGTCATTCAGGTTGTGGCTCATTGGGTTACAAGAACTCAAGTATTTATAATGTATGCAGTTAGTGTTAATCATCATCCAGTTGAAGATTTTTGGAATGATTGTTTCAGGCTACATTATAAATTTTTCATTGTAATTGCGAGTTAGTCGGATTTCAAGAAAAATGGTTTATATAGAATAAATTATACTACTATTACACAAATTATCAAAGTCCAAAATGAGAGATAAATAAATAAAAATCTAGATATTAAACTCAATCTATCAACCCCAAAACTAGATTGAAAAGTAATACAACTAATAGATCTGGAAATGAATAGATTCTTTTAGTAGTACAAAAATAAAATAGTATAGAGAAAATAAAAAGTAGAGAGACAAAGCTTTATCCCTAACTTGAGTAGAAAAAAGAATAGTAAAAGAGGAGGAGAAAAATTTTAACCCTAAGAACTTAATCTACCAAAAACTGAACGTATTAAGATGAGAAAAACTGATGATTTTTTCATTTTGGACTTTAAGCCTAAACAATATATTTTTTTTCTTTCAATTTTGAGTGTGGTCATATTTACAATTAGAGAAAAATATAAATTGATAAATAAAAAAAATGCGGGGGAAGCTGGCCCTACTGAATACCATGTGGCTCTGCCGTTGTTAGTCATAATATTTGTAACACGACAAAAGATTATCATTTTTAAATCATACATAGACATATATATTTAATTTTTATACACATCTAATTTATTATTTTTATTTTTTTATTATTATTATTTTTTTATACACATCTATATACATAAAACATATGCATTCATATCTATTATCTTGAGACTTGACCTTGCCATATCCATATCCTATAATTTTAAATTTAGTGTATCTCAAATTCCGTTCTTTGTCGTGTATGTGTCCCATATGCCCGGTTTTCTAACCACCAAGTAGAACCTACTTACTTAGAACATCCATTCCCCTCTCACTCAAATGCCCAAGCCGCATATGTCACAATCTGATAATATCTGAATCAATTTGAGGACGATACTTCTATTGAACCCATGACTGTGCTATCATGCAATGCTTATAAATCTTGCTACTTCAGTCCTTTCATCACAACAAGAGCACCCTTGAAACCCGAATGACTCCACCTTCAGCTTTGTAACTACACCCAATGGAATCTAGCGTACCCAGGGAAATCAAATTCTTCTCCATTTTCGGTACATGCCTGATGTCAGTCAATGTTCTCACTATGCCATCATACATCTTGATTCAAAGTGTACCTGTTAAGGCAAAATTACCCAAAACCAATGTCAATTTCTAGAACTTTAATGTTGTGGGAGATGACTAGAATTCTGAAAGTTCAAGATGACCCAAAATAAATGCCGACCTCTGAAACTTGCAGATCACCCAAAATTAATCATCTTTAAGGCATGTATTCATTTTCCTTAAAGTGTTATTTGACCCCACTCAATTGAGTTTGCTATCGGGTTCTGCAGCAAAACTCTCCGCTGATACACAAAATCTAAATTCCTATAGTTAGCAATCCTGAAGGAATTCCTCAAGCACTCGTTGAAACTATTATAATGATGTCTGGATAGGAAGGAGAGAACAAAACACGGGGATAGTAGAAATACAATATAGAAGAAAAATGAAAGCATTGTGTAAAAGCTTAAAATGAGATGAATCACTCATTTACAGCTCTAGTATTTATAGATAAAAAGAGCACATGCTTATATTAGAAGAAAGGAAACTAAATCAAATCTAAATCAAATCATAGCATATTTTATGGCATATTCTTTAACATAATCAAATCTTTGCTAATATGGTAAGTCATTCCATAAATTGTGGTTATCATATATGCTAACACTCTCTCTCAAGTTGGTGCGTGGATATCTGAAACGCCCAAGTTGGATAATGTTTTCTTAAACACAATCTTGTTGACGCCCTTTGTAAGAATGTCTTCAAGCTGCTGAGAACTTGTGACAAATGGAGTGTAAATTTGACCAGAGATGATCTTCTCTTGAATGAAGTGACGGTCCACCTTTATATGCTTAGTCTTTTCATGTTGGACGGGATTTACTGCTATGCTTATGGCAGACTTGTTGTCGCAATAGAGTGAGAATGGAAGTGACATTGGAAGGTACAAGTTTGTCATCAAGGTTTTCAGCCATATCAACTCACATACCCTAAGAGCCAAAGCCCTATACTTTGCCTCTGCATTAGATCGAGAGACAACATTCTACTTCATAGTGGAACAATAACCTGAAGTTGACCTCCTATCTGAAACTAATCCTACATAATCAGCATCTGTCTAAGCCTCAACACGTAAGTGACCATGATCGACTAACAAAATACCACGGCCCGGACACCCTTTTAAGTAGCGAAGGATTTGAATAGCTGCATTAAGGTGAGGGGTACGAGGAGAGTGCATGAATTGACTTACGACGCTTACGTCATAAGCAATGTCAGGTCGAGTCATGGATAAATAGATGAGCTTCCCTACAGGTCGTTGATATTGACCAACATCTGACAACAACTCCCCCTCAGAATCAGACAACTGATGATTCTATTCAATCGAAGTATCAGCAGGACGAGCGCCAAGTTGACTAGAAGTAGAAAGCAAGTCAAGAACATACTTGTGTTGAGATGAAAATGCTAGCCTTGGAGCGAGCCACCTTAATGCCCAAGAAGTACTGTAGGGGACCAAGATCCTTAATCTCAAACTGACGGCCAAGATAGCTCTTAACCTCAACAATTCCGGTAATATCATCTCCTGTAAGAACAATAGCATCGACATACACAATGAGAGCAACTATCTTACCACCTGAATGATGTAAAAACAAGGTATGATTAGCTGCGCTATGATGGAAACCAAACTTGAGCATGGCAGTGCCTAAGCAATCAGACTAAGCTCGAGGAGAGTGCTTGCGGCCATACAGAGAACGATGAAGAATGTCAGGTCGAGTCATGGATAAATAGATGAGCTTCCCTACAGGTCGTTGATACTGACCAACATCTGACAACAACTCCCCCTCAGAATCAGACAACTGATGATTCTATTCAATCGAAGTATCAGCAGGACGAGCGCCAAGTTGACTAGAAGTAGAAAGCAAGTCAAGAACATACTTGTGTTGAGAGATGAAAATACTAGCCTTGGAGCGAGCCAACTTAATGCCTAAGAAGTACCGTAGGGGACTTAGATCCTTAATCTCAAACTGACGGCCAAGATAGCTCTTAACCTCAACAATTCCGGTAATATCATCTCCTGTAAGAACAATAGCATCGACATACACAATGAGAGCAACTATCTTACCACCTGAATGATGTAAAAACAAGGTATGATTAGCTGCACTATGATGGAAACCAAACTTGAGCATGGCAGTGCCAAAGCAATCAGACTAAGCTTGAGGAGAGTGCTTGCGGCCATACAGAGAACGATGAAGACGACAGACCATTCTAGAATGAGCAGGAGAACGAAAGCCCCGAGGAGGACCATGTACACCTCCTCCACTATTGAGAAAGACATTTTTGACATCTAACTGAAATAGAGGCCAAGATTGATTGGTAGCAACGGAAAATAATACACGAATGGTATTCATTTTGGCAACA